TAACACATCCTCATGTCAATTGACCATTGGCAGACCTATAAAAATACTCTTTTCTCGAACTGATTATTGCAGTAGTCTCACAGTATAAAAAATAGAGAAAATTAATCTGTAGATCCATATAATTTTATTTAATTTTAAATTAGGTTCTTATAATTTGTTTTGTTTGATTTGCTTTTATAGTTTGATCTATTTTATATGTTAATTCATGAAGATTAAAATTAAAAATGAATTGTTAAATTTTATAAAATAAATACTCTTGGAGCTTACAAAAAATTAATTTAATATATTTAGCCAAAATAAAAAAATTGACTTAATATACTGTTGTACGACAATTATATATGTATAAAAATATTTATTAAATTTTGAATTATAAAAAATATGTAATTAATTCTAAAGTTAAATAATCATTTAATAAAAATATATTTATTAATTTTATTTTTTAAAGGAAAAATTTAAGGATTTTAACCTTCAAAGATTAAATAACTTAATTGATCAAATATAGAGATTTAATTAAAACAAAATAAACTACTATAAACTTAATTCATGATTGAGTTATGTAAATATGATTTCCCTAAAAAATAACATGACTATTGTTATTTATATTTAAATACACACACTAAAATTTAAAATAATTAAACAACTACGATCTGAAATTCAATCACATATAATCACTTAAAATAACTCAAAATTGCAGGCACGGATCTAAAAAATTATATAAAAATATTAATTTTTTTATAATTTTTGATATCATTTCATGTATTCTTTTATTAAATAACATTAAAAATTAACATCTCTTAATGGTAGGAAACTTTTGCACAATTTTTAAAGTTGAAGGAGTACATTATACAAAAAATAAGCTTAGGGTTTTGGATTTTTTCTGGACATATTGTTTAGGACAAATTTATTATTTAATTGTTTTTTATACATATAAATTTTTCATAAAAAATAATAAAAATATAAATATTGGACTATATCAAAATTTCTCTTATTTTTTGGTACAAAAGTATTAAATCAAAATTTCCAACAATTTTAAAAGTATCTTTGTTTTAAAAATATTATTCATTCATTAATAATTTTAACATTCAGGAGTTAACGTATTTAATCAATCAAAATATAAGATTTTTATTAAAATTAAATAAACTATAGGGCCTAATTTAAAACTGAAAAAAATTATAAGGACTTGCGGATTAATTTTTTAAAAAATAATAATGAAATATGTAATTATTTGATTAACACATTTTATAAAAGGAAACCATTTAAATTAATGCTCTCTGTGTGTGTGTGTCCAATACATAACTGCAATGCAATAGTATTATTTTGGTAGAAATGCATCAATACTTATTGATTTCCCCCTAACATTTAATCAAATGATCAATTTGTGATCGATGCCATACCAAACAAATCAAGAACTCTAACTACTACAAGTCAACAAACCAATTGATAACCCTTTTTCTCTTCTTAATTAATTATTTAAAGTTATTTGCCAAATTTTCTCCTTTATTATTTAGTGCACAACTCATTTAAAAATCTTCGAAAATTGTGAGGAAATATAAGCTGTAGCACGATATCGTACTGTAATTTAATCGATATTTAACTTAGAAAATAAGTATTCATTATTTAAATTTCTAATATTTTGTTTTTTCAGGATGAAGCATGACCTAGCACATAAGCAATTTTTGATATAATCCTGAATTGAGATTTAAGAATACTGCAATATTAAAATATCTAAATATAATGTGAAATTATTAATATTCCAAATCGTATGTTTCTTTGTCGATAGTGACATGTCAAGTAATACTAGTTTAGTTTCAGAGTCTCATATGTGATATGACGCTTCTCAGATTCTGATTTATTAGATGTTATTTTTCATTTAGATATTCTAAATTCTGGACAAATCAATATGGTTTTACAGTGTAGTTCAACAATCTTCTGATTCTGTTCAATTAAGTCACCTTTCTTTTAATTTTCCTCGTCTCGTTTTAAATTCGTGACTTTTTTATTTCATTTTTCTGTTGTTAACACATTTGATCTTTTTACCAAAAGCTATCTTAATTTTTAATTTACTCATTTGCTTAAAAGTTTGAAATTTTCTTGAAAATATAAAACATCACTTTTCTAGTCCTAACATTTATTCACAAGTTCCAAATAAGCTTTTCCAGGGAAAAAAAATCTTGAATTCCATACAAACATGCAGACTCATTCTAATTACTTAAAAGAAAAAGGAAATCCAACAAAATCATCAATATAAAAAATTAAAATAATATAAGGTGCAATAATTTAAATTTAAACTATTTACAAATCATGAATTACATATTTTTTAAAAAAATTTCTTGCATTAGTGAAAAATATGTCTAATTTTATAAAATGTTTTAAACAATTATTCTCTTAAGATTTGCATCATCATTTTTATTTTTTAATTCATAAAAAAAAAAAATTTTTCTTACACGGTAAATTGGTAACATAGTCATTTAGCATAACTAATAATCACCAATTACATCATGGTTTGAATACTGATTTGATTAATTCTAAATACTGTAACTAACAACCGTCGCGTGCACGTGAGGTAAGTAATGGTACACTACGGCCGACCCCACGGTAAACACCAGAGATTATTTCCACGTCGGCACGTCCTGACAGTGTCGGTAGCAAGGAGTGTCAAGGCCGTAATTAACATCCAAAAGCAGTGGCAAAACACTAAGACTTGAGCGTCTCCGCCGTTTACGTAGAGGTTTGCTGCTTGCTGCAGCTAAAGCCGTCCTATTCAATACGCATTTATAATATTAAGGATTTTCATTTTTTAAAAAAGGTTTTTTAATATTTTTAATAAATTTGAAATATTTAATTCTACAGGTTCTGCCCAAATGTTATTTATCAGCAAGTACCCTATAACCGGCAAATAATTCAAAATTTTGTTCAAACTCAGTAGAAAAAAAAAAGAAAAAATAAAATTCAATTTAATTAACTTGTCCAAAATTTTTGATTGGATAGATTGATTTAACAGTTCACTTATACTACAGGTTAAATCTTATGATGTATAAATATTGACACGTATATTGAACACGCAACACATCAATACTTTCAGTTTTAAAAACATAGAATACAACATGCTTTCAATACATGAATATATATGTTTATAGAAAATCATAAGAAAATAAAATCTAATTTCAATTAAAAAAATTCAAACTAGCATGTATATGTATAATCTTTTATAGTAATACCAAGCAAAACATAATCAATAATTAAACTTTTATTTCATCCCTATCTAATTTCTTATCTCCTAATCTTCCCGTATGGTTTATATGCCATGTCAGAATTTTATATTTCTACATTTTTATAATTAAAAAATATAATTTTTATCTATTTTATAAAACATATTAATTTTTATTTTTTATTATATCTAAGACTTATTTTTAAGAAAAATCTAATCATTCACTTTAGAAGCAAATAAAAAATATATTAGGAACAAAATAATTAATATAGTAATATTTAATAAAATTTAACTTCTTAAAAATGAACTTCGAGTATCAATTTTAAAGTATCAATTTACAATTTAAAAATACCAAATGCATATCAAAAATTATTTTTTTTAAAATTAAAAATAATATTTTGATACTCTACATATACATATCAAAGAAGCATCAATGAGTTTTGGTATCTTGTCCAATACTGATATGAATACATGAAGTAGTTTAAAATATCAATGCATAATATTTTTAGAATCGAATTTGAAATTGAACCGAAAAGACCAACGAGTTATTATTCGCGTGGTTGAATCAATAATATAATAATTAAATAAATATAATATTAAATATATATATATAAAATAAATACAAGAAAAAAATCTATAGTTTGTTAATAAAATGACATAACGTGGTTGTAAATTAATAATATTATAAATTATAATTGTATAATTTGTCAAATATAAATAAATCTTAATTAAATTAAATATGAATAGATTTAAAAGTATTTGTATTTGTATCTATAATTGTCAACATATTTATAACAAAAGGTCTCAAGGTTGATTTTTAATAGGATAGAATTTTTAATTTTTTTATTTTTCTTAAAATTTGAACTTTTTTTAATATTATATTTAAAATTGTTCGGTTTTCAAAAAAACTGCTCTGGTTTCAAGTTTAACTCTGATTTTTGGCTCAATAGCGACCTATCTTCAATCTAATCTAGCTCAATTATAAAAATATTTTTTTGATTCAAATTGAATCATTAAATGACTCTAGTCGACAATCATTTGATCTTTAAATCATTGCTTCATAGGTTAAAACAGGTTGGATTTTAATATCATAATTGCTGGTAAATATTTTTTTGAAAAATTAATTATTTAATTCTTATAATTTTAACTTAGTTGTAAGTCAATCTTAAAATTTTAACTCGTTATAATTTAATCTTTAAAGTTTTAATTTAATTGTAAATCAGTGCTTGAACTTTGCCTCTTACAATTTATTTTCTGGAGTTTTAATTTGTTAAATATTGATCCTATATTTCAAAATATAAAATTATAAAGATTAAAAATATTTTAAAATTTATTACTTATATTTTAAATTATTAAATCCTTTTAATCTTTATAAATATTAAAAGTCTGAAATACTTTTGATTTTTATAATTTTATTTTTAAAATATTTAAAAAATTAAAATTTTAGGGACTAAATTATAAGAGATAAAGTTTAGAGATTGATTTATAATTGAGTTAAAAATTTAATATTTGAATTATAACGAGTCAAAATTAAAAAATTAAATTATAATTAGATTAAAATTATAAGAGACAATCATTAATTTTCCCTTATTTTTTTTAATGAAACAGTTTTTGATATTTTAATATTGATAATGAGAGCGAAGGCCTGTGCTTACATTACATTACTAATTTCCCGCGGCCTCGATCACAGCTTTCGTTTGGTTTTGGCTTTTCTTGCTCAAAACACGCGCGAATACAGTGTCTCACACTCTCACTCACGAAAAAGAATTTCACAATAAATTTTCATTTTTCAGAAACACTTGATTTGATTTGATTTCTCTTTTTCTTACTCAAGAGAATTGATTTCACTGTGCCAGTAGAATTTCGATTCCCGTGAACTCCATTTTGCTCCGCAAGTACAAGGATAAATGCTCCTCCCACCTCTCTCTCTCCTCTCTCTCTCTCTTCTTTTGCTTCTCTCGCACTGAACCAGTGAGCCAGTGAAGTATCAGATCTCTCTTGCCGATTCGATCCAGAGGAGGAGGAACCGGATTGAGTGATGGAATCGAGACGATGAAGTTCTACATATCGGCGAAGGGGACAAAGAGAGTGATCGCGATATCGAACGGTGGAGGAGGAGCCGGAAAAGCATCGACGAAGACTAGTACGGCTGCTGCTGCAGGAGGTCGCCGGATTTCCGCCGGCGCTGTCTTGCCGGTGGTTCTGTTGCTTGGTATTGTCCTGCCGTTGCTCTTTGTCAGAATCGCGTTCTTGGTGCTCGAATCTGCTGCGGTTTGCTCGTCGTTAGGTAATTCAAATCTCGTGTTTATTCCTCCATTTTCAGTTCTTTGTAATACTTTTCAAATTAATACTTTAGTCTTCAATATTTTACTCTATAATTCAATTTTTAGAGTTTTCTTTTCAAGTATTTTGAATTGAATGAAAATTAAGTTGGTAGAGGTTGGCAGTGGCATTAATGAGAAGAAACGAAAAATATGAATCAGTCTACCAAAAAAGAAAAAGAAAAAGAAAAAGAAAAATATGAATACCATTCAATAAAGTACGGGGAGCCTGAGATGAGAGACGTAGAACGAAATTTCACAGGATGGGATGTCGTTACTCGTTATTTTCATGCTTTATTCATTTATCTTGTTGAAAGTTTTTTTATGTATTAGTGGAAATGATAATTGCAGATTGTGTGCGATGGAGGTTTTTGAGCGAGGGTGACACGTCTCTGGTATGTATATTGTGACCCCAGCTACAAGATTACTTTCCTATTTTTATAACATATTTTATTTTTAACTTACACGTCATTTTATTGCCTACATAGAGAACAACTAATTAATATTAAAACGTTGGCCACAACAAAGATATAATACGAAATTGTCTCTCAAAAATGTCTTTGATAAAATATACTCCCTGTATCATAATAATAATAATATATTATTATTATTATTGATAACTACTTCATAATTTTTTAAAAAAGTTAGATAAAACTTTAACATCTTAAATTTTTTTATATTTTTTAGTTATATCCTCATTAAATATTTTAATCATGATAATTAAAATTTTAATGTATCATTTTTTCTGAAAATTAAAGAATAATCAATAAAGTAGGGGTATAATTAAGAAAATTATAAATATTATCTAATGACCTATATTTTAAATTAAATAGAGTTTCTAGAAAATGTTCGATATCATGGTTTGGAGGGAGTATTCATTGAACATACATACTTGATATTATGAGACATCAAATTAATATTAATATTAATATAAAATATGACATGTATACAAATTACAATATTCAAAATCATAATAAATCCCCAACAACTTTATTTTAGTCTTTGAAAAATGCGAAGTTTAATTAATACACCATGCATAGTAGTTAATGATATATTTTTACCCACCTTATCAATATATATAATCAAATTTTGGCATGAGCAGTATGGCTGTAAGCCACTTGGCTGAAAAAGATATATATTAAAATACAAAGATTAAAGTTATTTGAATATTTATGTTGCATTATAGGGATAAATGATAAGTTCCAACTATTTAACTGAAAGTGGTTACAACATACTTCCTTCGTTAAAAAATGAAAGGCATTTTTTAAGGAGTTAAATGTTAAAAAATGTGAGATATTTTTAGTTTTTTAAATTGTAATCGTTGCCTTTTTTTTCTTCAAAAGTGTCCCCATTAATGAACAACTTTATATTTATTGTATGGTGTTTAATAGGAATAGATACAAAAAAATAGAGTTAGTTTGAAGGTAGGTAACTACTTTATTGGGGGTGAGATTACGTTAAAAATGCTTTACATTTTTTAATGGAAGGAGTATTATATAAAAAAACACATCATGTGTTACTTCAAGAGGAATATGGTCACATTTTCATCACGAGTTATTCCTTTTCTTGTTTTTTTTTCTTTATAATCTGTTTTCCTTTTTTCCTTTCTGTTCATATTTCTGAATCTCAGTATTTTTTTCCCTAACTTACCTTAAGACAAACGTTGGCAAATACTATCATTCGTATACTTTGCGTTTGCTTCAAGTAGTGAAATATCAATTAAGTAAATGGACGTCAATCATAATTAAGAATAAATAGGTCAAGTATACTGACGTAAATCATGATTAAGTAACTGGTATAACTAATTGAAATAATTTATATGTAATTTTTGTTGTATATTATTATCAATATCTTAATTGGAAAGTTTTCCATCAAACATGTTAAGTGTTCAATCTTTTAATTAACTCATAAAAATGTCACATTATTATTGAAGGACTAAATGTTATATATCTTTAATTCAAAATTATCAATAATCAATAACTGTATTAAAAAATTTATATAGAAATCTAATCTTTTTATTTTCTTTAATTTTTTCCAATTAAACGAAACTTTTGAATATATAGGACACATAAATGACTTGTCGAATTTTGTCCCTTACTCAAATTGTGGAATCTTGATTGCATCGAATTTAGTTCAGGTTTGCCTGGCACAGTAGCACTAACGGAAATATTATTGAAGCAAAGGACAAAATAAATATGACAGCAAGGAAGATAATAGATAAGAGTACGACAGCTAAATCAGCATAATCCACACTAATCTAAAAAATTAAAACAGTCTTGTCCTCATGTTTATCGAATAATAAATACTTTTTTTTAATCATTTGTCGTTTTTTTCCTTCCTTATTTGTCTAAACTTTGTCATTTTTATTAGCTAAAATTTCATTTTAATCTTTAATAAATAGAGTATTGATACATTTAGTCTATAATATATGGCATTATTTGTTAAATTAATTTTTCCAAATGAGTACTTTTTTTAATTTAATCTCTTACGAAGATGATTATCGTCAGTAATATCTTGTCCATTCACTATTAGTGTACCTAATAATCACTGCTAGTATATCCTATTCGCTTTCTTCCCAAAAACAAAAGTAGCATAAACCCAGCCACAAAAAGGTGAAACTTTGAATAACAATATAATTTAACCAAGAATATGTTAAACTACTTTTCAATGAAATTTATACGCGCCAATTCACTCAATTGATGATGAGTTGGTTAAACAATTAACAAATATTTGAATTTAGTTGTTTTTTCCCCCTTCCTTTCCTTTCTTTCTTGCTTTGTTTTTTTTAACCATGGCTATTGATGCTATGCATATACGTATCTTAAGAAACTCAGAGATGAGGTGACCAGAGCGCTGCTGGAAGCGAACGACGGTCATGTGAGTGAAGAAGGAGCTGAGTCGTTCAATGAGCTTGTGAAACAGATGAGGGCCTCTAAGCGACAGGACCTTGAGGCATTCGCTTTCAAGATCAAGGCCTCGGTACATGTAACTTAGAAATAGCTAATAGAGAAAGATAGAGAAAGTTTGATTATGTAAGTAAACAGTCGATTGGTTTCTCGAGCTAGTCAGCTAGATGTTGCTCAAGGAAGGAACTAGTCCACTTTTTGGTTAGATAAAGCAAATCTTATTTTCATGTTGTCATTACGTTCTTGAACCAATGACTTATGACTGTGAAAACTCAGGATTCTTTCAGTTTTTTTGGAACAACGTTAGGAAAATATCTGGTCAAGTTTCTTTCAAGTTTTCAGTCCTAGTCTGTTCAGATGGACACAAAATATATATGCCTACTCTATGTAGACCTGAACCAGTTCAGGACTGTTCCACCGGGGGAGAAAACTATCTTATTGATCTGTGCACATTTCGCTTATATTGACTCCATTTCAATACATCCTCTTTGTAACTCACGATATTCTTCTGATCATCACTTTCAGCTATCAAGAATGGAACGCAAGGTGCGATCGGCAAGGCATCTGGAATCAGTTTACTGGCATCTAGCTTCTCACGGGGTTCCCAAAAGCCTAAACTGTCTTTGCCTCAAGTTAGCTGATGAATACTCTGTAAATGCCATGGCTCGATCTCGCCTACCTCCGGCTGAATCCATCTCTCGACTTGTTGACCCTACCTTTCACCACGTTGTTCTCCTAACTGACAATGTCCTTGCAGCTTCTGTTGTTGTCACCTCTACTGTTGAAAATTCAGCCATCCCTGAGAAGTTAGTCTTTCATATCGTCACCGATAAGAAAACTTATACTCCCATGCATGCATGGTTTGCCACCAATTCTGTGAAATCAGGTGTAGTGGAAGTCAGGGGATTGCACCAATATGACTGGTCTGAAGAAGTTAATGCTGGTGTTCAGGAGATTCTGGAAACTAATCAATTGATTTGGAAGAACTATTACAAGAATATTAAAGAAAGGGAATTCAACCATAGGGATCAAGAGCAAAAAAGATTCATAGAGGTTCTAAGGCCTAGTAGCCTCTCCTTGATGAATCATCTCCGCATTTATATCCCCGAGGTAATTAGTTATTGATTTGAAGTGCCTCTCAACTTAGATTTTAAGGGAACAAAATCGGTAGATGCATTCTGGTTGACTGATACAAGCCTGATGAACTCTTTATGATGGTTGTTTGATAATTTGATTTTTGTGGACTGTCACAGCTGTTTCCTGATCTGAACAAGGTGGTATTTTTGGATGACGATGTTGTGGTGCAACATGACATATCTTCTTTGTGGGAACTAGATCTTAATGGCAAAGCCTGTGGTTCGGTTTTCAAGTCATCTGGTGGAGAAACTGGTTTCCCTGGAAGTAAATTCATCGACTACCTGAACTTCTCCCATCCTCTCATATCATCCCACTTCGATCCTGAACAAAGCATATGGCTTTACGGCATGAATATATTTGATCTTGAAGCTTGGAGGAGATCGAATATCACTGAGACTTACTTTCGATGGTTGAAACTTGTAAGTATATCTTGTAACTATCCATGTCTCTCAACTGAATAATAGCGTGTGTGTGTGTTTGGTTTCATGGTGAGAACATCGCAAACCCACTTTTTCCCTGCAAATCACAGTTTGGCACCCCACGCATATTGTTTCCAAACACAGCCTAAGCTTGAGCTAGAGGTCGGGCTACAGATTATAAAAAATACTTTTGGCAATACTGTTTCTATTTTGTCATGAATCTATATTCTGAAATTCAGTATCTTTATCTGATTTCACAGAACCTCAAATCTGGGTTGGCATTATGGAAACCAGGTGTGCTTCCACTTGCCTTGATTGCTTTTGAGGGTCAAGTGCATCCTATAGATTCATCATGGCTTGTGACTGATTTAGGTTACCACTATCAATCAGAAGAAATTAGTCCGGACAGATTGGAAGCTGCTGCTGTAATTCATTTCAGCGGCCCTGCAAAGCCGTGGCTTGAAATTGGCTTCCCAAAAGTTCAGAGTTTATGGAACAGATATGTAAATTTCTCTGACAAATTCATCAGGAGATGTGGAATTACACAGTGAATCAACACAATTATACTGCTTCAAAGGCTCCAACATGTGTTCATTTAGGACACAAGTTATCTCCAGGTTTTTTGGTCCTGACATTTTCAAATGAATATAAGATAGGTCTACCTTGTATCCACCAAGAGAGACAAGGATCTTAAGCAGATGTTTGGTTCATGGAAAAATGTTTTCTAGGAAAGAAATGAGAAATATACTTAGAAAGAAAATGGGATAAATGCATTTCTCATTTTCTTTTTGAAAAACATTTTTCTACCTACCAAACATTACATAAGACCTGGAAACAAGTTGGAGTAGATCATTTGAGATTCATTAACAAGGACAAAATGCGTGCGGGATCTGAGGGAAGAAGGTTTCACCTTCAGTCTCTGACTTATACGCTCTTCACAGCATAATTTTGCCAGATACTTCCATATGCTTACATATACTTCACAGTCATATATAGATGAAGCTTCCACTCAGTGCCATATTACAAACACTATCATCTGATCCTGATGTTAAGAGTTATGAGATACAGCCACAAGCATCATAATTTTTTTCTCTGGGCACAGATTATAAATGGTAATTTTAGTTTTTAATTTTCGGCTATATTATTGTATTGCTGTAAATTACCTGCTTAAAAATGCTTTTCTGTACGGAAAATAATTTTACATGTATAGTATTTTCTGATTCCTTGAATTTGGTGCAGTAATTCCTTGCTTTTAATTGGTTAGGATATTTTACTTGGATCAGCTGTTCTAGTGTATAAATAGTTGTTAGACTCACTACCCTATCAGATACATTATATTATCTTGAATTTTAAGACTTGAAAACTTAAAAAGAGAGATGTACTAGAAATTATTTGATAACTGATGCTTCTATGTTCAGGAATTGTTTCAATACTTTTAGCATTTATTTCTGTCAAATATAACTTATTGTGAAAATGATAATAAAATTCATCGGAAATGTATAAATGATAATTTGATTCCTCGAAATGTAATAATTTCCTTGAAATCCCTAGGAGCTTTTCTGTAATTAATGAATTTATATAAATTATCAAATTGCCCTTGTTTTAAAATAAATGATTTACAAGTTTTGTTTAAATATTTACTTCCTTTTTATATTCGTAATAATGCAATAATAAATTATAATTTTGCATGTTAATTCTTTATTTGCTGTTATATTATTACGAATATAAGAAGAAAAATTGTGAATATTTAAATAAAATTGTGAATCATTTATTTTTAATAAGGGCAATTTATATAAATTTATTAATAATAAAAAAGTTTTTAGAGATTTTAGGATAATTATAGTATTTTAAGAGACTAAATTATTATTTATATATTTCAGAAGAATTTCGTTGTCATTTGCCCTAAATTATTTCATTGCTTGGATTGAAATTTTTGCAGCGGCCTAGCTCAGAGATCCCATAGAGAAATAGAGTTGAAATTCTCAACTCAGATATCAAACTCGCATATTTTCTAATAAAAAATTTATATATTTAATTTTAGATATTAGAGGTACTTATTTTTAATTAAATCAGTATATATAAATCATTTACATATTATCGATACTTTAACAAGATCTTTTGAATAATATTATTAATACATTATAATTTACTTATTTTGATTAGATTGGATAAAATACATTAAGTATATAAAGCTAAATATCTACATCTTGTCCTTTTCAATATTACAAGGAGTATAAAAAGTAAGTTGTATATTCATGATTGATAAATGATTATATATTTATTATAATTTTAATTGTTTATTGACCAAATTTGTTAGTGTAACGTTGCAATTTTAAGCTCAGACAAATTGAAAAAAATTAATTCACTTGACATATATCTCTCTTGAATTTAAATTTATACTGAAAACTTTATCTTATTTTAAATCATTTATGTATCTAAGTGTAGACCAGATAGTTATAATTATAAATATTTAGAAATCTAATACACCAGCACTTATATGTACTGACCAAATTATTCATTCGATTTGTTGATTATATACTTATACGTCATTTTACATAATTAAAACATGCATTTCTTAGTAGAAAATCTGAACAAACCAACGGGGAACGATATTTGAAAGAAATAACAACCGATCAGATAATAAACAATATTTTTTATATAATATATGAAGTTTTGGGGCCAAAATGCTGGTCGTTTTGCTAGTTCAGAGAGTAATTAACGGAAATTCCAATAAATGGAATAACGGTTCTCAATTAGAAAACTGATCCCATATGAGTGGCTCTCCACCAGTTTAGAACCCAGTTGCAGAGTATCCCAGATTGACGAAAATTAGCCCTTTGAAACAATTTCCAATAATCTTTCCTCTTAATTATCAGCTACCTGAGCATCCAAAGAAATTAGAAAAAATACATAAAAGTTATCAGAAGAGCACATGTATAAAGAAAATGGTTATTATCATAATCAGGAAAATAATAAAGCAAAGGCATGAACTTTAAATAAATGGTCTTCTCCCACCATAATTCCCACATGATAACTCTAATTTTAAGTATATAAAATGCATAACAAATAGACTCCACCTACTCCTCTAGTTCTATTTATATTTTATAAGTCATTTTCAATATATTTATTTTAAATTAAAAAATTAAAACTCATTAATTTTATCTAAAAATTTAATAAGTTTTCAATTTTATTCTCATCAAAATACACACACACTTTTTGACACCAACATCTAATAAAAAGTAGAAAAGGAAACTTGTAATGACATAATTTATAAACATGACTTGAAAAAAATCTTTTCTCTTATAAATAGAATTAGAGAAATTAGTATATAGTATAGAGAGAGATAGACACTAAATCACATAACATGTGTAACATATATTACATTAAAGAATGGAGTCAATTGTTGAATGTGTTCTCTCATGCATTTATAGCAGATGAATTAAAAGCCAGAAATTGAAAGTGAATTGAGTTATAATGAATCTAAGAGGGGATATGGAAATGGATGATTACTTACACAAGCTGGAGAGCAGTGTGGTCTTGTCGAGTAGAATAGTGATGATGATTATTGGAAGCCAAGAGATTTACAGGGAAGAAATTGCGATCATAAGATTGTGAGGGAATGGACTCACACATCTGCTGCTGCTGCTGCATCACACTTGATTGCTGCTGCTGCTGCTGCTGTGCTCTCTCCTGTTCGGCTATCTGCAGGCATTACATCCTCATCAACATCTCAACTATAAAACAACATGGATTATATATGCATAGATAGGTAGAGAGAGACCTTTGCTCGCAGATAATTATTATGGTTTTGGAGCTCCATTTCCTGTAACATGATAATTATGGGATGAGGTTCAACTATATATATACACAATGTATTTCTATTTTCAATAAATATGAAAAGAATTTTTAGAGGTTGTGCTTGGTTTGCTTATATCATAAAATTTTAAGGGGAAAAGTAATAAACTTGAAAAGCTAAGAATATTTTGTTTGGTGAAGTTTTTTTAATTATCCTTTTCTATGAAAACATTATTTTCAATGACATTTAATTTTTTACGTGATTTGGGAAATATAATCCCAAATAAATGATGTCGATTTAATTTTCCCAATTTTATTTCCATTTTTTAAAATACTTATTTTGATTACAGTTTGGTTCTGTCAAGTGTCAATTATATAATAGTCTTGATCACTTAATTCTTGGGATTGAATTTTCCTGAATAAAAAATTCCTTGCAGTAGATTTAAAAATCTTTAATCCAAAAGTTTTCTTGGTTTTTTTGGTAATATCTTATTATCTTACATTATTAAGAACTGAATATAGAACTTAATTTGTTTTGTTGCCAATCTATTAGGAAAATGCATGAGATTTCTTGCTCTATACATCTTCACACTTTAAACTTAATGATTAGCATTAGAATTGTTACTCTAGTTAATGATATTATTAGGTTGTCCAAACATAATTAAACTTAAATTATTGTAAAAAGTTTTCACGTCAACTAAAAGTAGAGTCAATAACTAATAAAAAATAAATAAAATAATTTATAAACTTAAATCTTAAAATTTTAAATTAAGATATAATATTTGTTTTTTTATTTTTGTCCATTTCTTCTATTTCTTGTTTCCAGGTCACCTCTCAATCTTCTCAATCCTAACAAGTGGCATTGAATCCTAGTTTTGTTTGGGACAAGTGGTTGACGCACATGCGCATGCACGTGTTATACTACTTTCAGGCATTTGATATTTATAGCATTTTTAATATGGGAAAAACTCTTATTGCTGCTAATGAAACTCTAGGTAATTTATATCTTTTCAATTTCCTTCACTTCACATTGATGTGATCCACAACCATAATCTTTTATTTATGGCATTTAGTTGCTAATCTTTTATTTATGGCTTTTAGTTTTGAGATGAATATTCAAATTTAATCAATTTATATATCCAAACAAAGACAGAAAATGCCTTGGAACCCAATTGAATGAGAAATTCTTAGATAAATTGAGTGCACTATATCATTTGTAATTTGTCTAATTAGAATGCCCCAGATCATCTAAATAAAATCTTACGTGATATTATTTTAATTAATTTTATTCTTGTAATATAATGCATAATTAATTTATTGCATTTTCTTTTTCTATTATCATTGATATTATAATTAATTTATATTTAATTTTATCTAAATGCTATATTTTTATTGAATAGATTACAAATGACATAATGCACCTAGTTTACTTAAGAATTTCTCCAATTGAATTTAGGAGCCTTAATTATACGTGCTGTACTGTTATTACATGCAATTAATAATAAAGTGAGACATATATATACATGTTTTTCTACAATTGTAAACTCCATTTATAAATAGTACGGTATGTTATAGATTTTATAATATATAATGATAATATAATATTGATATATTGACAGCAGAAAATAGAAAAGGCACCAAAAAAAAAAAACTAAATAATGAGGATGAAAAGAAGAGTACCCGCTTCTGCATGAACTCGACTTCAGCAAACAATGTCTCGTGCTGCAAAAAAAAAAAAAGTAGTATTGCACAGTTAAAATTTTGCAAACAGATGAACTGTTTTGCAGTATCATATATTTTCTCAGAAACAGGAGTGATTCAATTAATCAACGAAGAAAATTAACCTTTCTAGATCTAACTCTGCTCAAACCTTTCTCCAGTCTTCCCTCTAGGTTTTTCAGCTCCTTCAGACTCAAGGAGCTCAGAGCTTCACCCAGGATGTGCCTGCAAATTATAGTAATCAACAACATTCACTGAATATTTCATCAACACACACACAATCATTGGCCAACATATCTAATTTCTTAAAAATTATCAAGAAACTGACCTGTTCAGATTCTGAATATCGTGTATCTGCCTTCTTAGCTTGGATGATTCTTGCTGATAAAACTATTATTAATGTACGTGCAGATAACTTAAGTTAATTAGTATGAACGAGAACGTCAGCGGTATCCTAACTATATATATACATATATATGGAAGCAACCTCTTGCATGTATGTACTCTGTGTGTGTGCGTGTGTTTGGATTTCACATTCGTTTATATATCATCACAACCTTAAACGGTGTGTGTGTGTGTGTGTGTGTGTACCTGGGTATTAGCTTCAGCTACAGATTCTGTGTTTGTGGAAGCAGCGCAAGCTTTCTTGTACCTTTCAATAGTTGTTCTAACACTGCATTTACATTCAACAACACCACAATTATTTCATCAGTTAATCTCTCTCTCACACACACAACATATAACACAAGACAGCGGTGAAACTATAGATATATATATATATATAGGTTAACACATTTAGACAGTTTTGGAAGAGCATTTACACTTAAATTTACCAGATATTGTAACACTTGCAATTAATTTCTATTCTTCTAGTCATCCACGCATGAGATATATATAGTTACAGCCTTGATTTTGTGGAGTCGTTCTTTATTAGTTGTCACTGCCAAGCTGGCATAGCATGGGACAAACTTCATTGACTAACGAGTGTGAGTATTCAAAAATATTTGGTGACTTGTAATCTCTCTCTCTCGCACACACACAGAGGCTGACATGAGCTCTCTTCCTTTGTTTATTTAACCATAAAATGTGCTTTCATTTAATGGGCTGAGCTGAAACTGTATGTATGTATGTATCCCATAGGTTATGGCCACATGTCGCTTGCCAATAACTATATTAAAGACACAGAATATATATATATATATATAGAGAGAGAGAGAGAGAGAGTTCTTGGATTTATATATCTCGGTGGATATTGAAGTGTACATAAAGAGTTTAAAAAGTCAGTGAAGCTTTGTGAATCTAAGAAAGTGAATGATGAGATCGGCATGTGTGCAGAGTGCAGACTACACATCCCTATGCACAAGAATAAGCTCAGAATAGATCACACTCTCTTATTGCCTCTTTACTCTCTTTCTTTTCTTTCTTACCTTACACTCTCTGTTACTTCTTTGCATTTCCCTATGTTCTTCTTCTTCTCTTTTTAAATCTCTCCTATATATTCTCTATCAACCAAACAATATAATCTTACTCCACATATATTTCTTTTATGCATATGTTTTCAAGTGTGCACTTTAATTTGTCCGCTTCAGTCTTTGAAAGTCTGAATCTGTCTAATTCGTAGACCAAATTTATGCTGTTATTAAGGTCTAAACAATCTGTGATTAAATGAAATGTCAAATATCTCATTTGTTGTGAAAGTGAAACACCTCTTTCACTTTCTCTGATGAACTTCATATGTGATAAAGCAGATTGACACAAAGTAGTGATATTTATTTATATATAATAAGTATTATTACCTTCCCATTCTATGAAATTTCCTATACACATAACTGAGGGTAGGTGGGTTATTTATTTACGTCAAGTATTGGAAACTTTATCCCCACAGATGAAAGCCACAAAAGGTGAGAGAGAAGGATAAATTAACTAATTAAGTATAGATGAGCCTGGAGAGAAGTTTTTCTTTTCTTTTTCTATTCTTGGAAATATGATATCATGGCATGGAGTTCTACTTTTATTCAGCTCGACCATCAAGAAAAAGATGACAGAAGAAGACACTAAATTATTTGACTTCTTTTGGATTTTTTTATTATTACTATTTTCTGAAAAAGTATAAAACTGCATCAGAAATACTGGGGGGGGGGGAAGGAGAGAGAGATTAATATTTGACAATAATAACAAATAAATGAAAAAAATAAGAAGACATCACCCTCCTGTTATATATGTGTTTAGTGACGAACTCTATTTTTGGTGAAGATAAATGGAAATGATTTCATACTTTATTGAAATATAATACTTAAAATCAGCTCATGAAAGAATTCAAACGCTAGTTCTTCCATACTTTTTTAAATTTAAGAAACTAGGAAAAATATTTAATTTTAGAGAATGAATTGAGAGGAATCCTCGCTAAACAAGATATCCAAAATTTGTTGCCTTTTTTTAAAAAAACAGAAGAAGAAAACCCTTTTTTTTTTTTAAAAAAAGGTGGGTTCTGTATTTCATTTCTGTCTTGTACGGAGAAAGAAAAGTTAAGGCGAGAGGGAAAAAGAGGACTGTTAGAAATAGAAATCTACTCATTAACGTTAACCTGCTGGTAATTAATCAGTTTGATATTTTCTAAGGTCTCAGAATTGAACTGGTCTGCAATTCTGCATCTGCGAGCTTCTTGTGAATCATTTTCTTGCTGATGAGAGGTGAGAGCTAAAATGTTGCTATATGGCATGAACTATGAAAGAAGTGTCAAGAAATGGAAGAGATTGATGAAAACTCATAACAGCTTTGTACAGCAGATCACTCTACTGGATTTGATGGCTAGGATGTGGAGAGAGAGAGAGACAGACAAATAGATATACATGCATATATATATAGAGAGAGAGAGAGAAAGCAAAATGGGAGATGCAAGAAGCTAAGATCTACAACCTACAAAATCTTAGAACCCTAAAAAATGTAGCTCTTATGCTTAGCTTTTACATATAAGCTCTATGTTATAATGCTTCACTATTTCTTACTGTTATCGCACCTTGGATCTGTTGAATCCTAGCAAGTTGGAAGAACGTAGAGGGAGAAGGAGAAAAGGAAAACACACACACACACACACACATATAGAATGAGTAATTACATATACGCACCGTAAAGCTCATTAAGGAAAGGCACAGCCAAAACGAAGAAGAAGGGAAAAGTTCATAAAATATTGAGAAAACTATCACTTTCGGCTAAACTCAGAACACGTACGGTCTTAATAACTTCATATAAGCTTCCAGTTGATTAAGCTTTTCTCACCAATTTAGTATATATATTTCATGTATTTGACTTGAAAAACAAACATAATATCACTTTAGAATAGATATAAAACAAAGGTGAGAAATCATTGAAACAAAATCATTCTTATTCCCAGCAGAAGTAAGAAAGATCAGAAAGAACTTCAGAATATAAGATAGATGTTCCCTGTATCTCAATTAAGCTTTTACCCAGAGAATTATTTCACCAACAGATATGCATATTGGCAAATTAAAAGAACAAACCTTGAAGAGTTGAAAGCAAATTTATCAACTAATAGAAGAGAAACAAAAGGAGAAGAATGTTGAAGGACAAACCTGTTATTGGCGTACTCGTACAAGCGACCACGGCTAGAGAAGACGACGAGAGCGACTTCAGCATCGCAGAGAACAGACAACTCGTAAGCCTTCTTGAGTAAGCCATTGCGTCTCTTACAGAAAGTAACTTGCCTGTTCGTCGTGTTCTCTATCCTCTTTATCTCTATTTTCCCTCTTCCATTCTTCTTCTGCGAAGACGACGATCCTCCTCCTGCTTCTGCTTCTGCTGCTTGAAGATGATTCGGAACCTCCATGGCCAGCCAGAGTTAGAAGAAAGAGAGAAGGAAGAAACAGAAGAGAGCGTGTTTGGTTAATATTTAATCTGGGTCTGAGGTTTGACGGAGCTATTTGTAGGCGTGTGGTGTGGTTAAGGCGTGAAGAAAAGTTGCAATATATGGAAGGCATGGTTGGCTGAGAAAGATGAAGACAGGAATTTATGGGTCCGAACACGACCCTTCAACCATCACACCCAATAACCCTACTGGTTTAATTAAATTAATTAACAACTAGATTATGATTACACCCCGCAATACTTGGTTCAACTAGTTGAGACTCGAGAAAGTTAAATAAACTTATTCTACAATCTTGACTCGGGATACTCGTAAAGCTACTATTAATAATAATGGTCGCACATAAAATGTGATAATAGTGTCAGATTTTTCAAAGTATCAAGTGATGGAATTAAAAAAAAACAATTAGATAATTATTACTATTTGGATTTAATCTAGTGCAATGCACTTACTATATGATCATAAAAAGATTTTTTTTATTTTTCTTAATTTTTATGTAAAAATAAAAATTAATACATCAGTTTAATTATAAAGGGCTTATTCATGATCACATTGATAAATTTAAATTAGTATTTTTTTTATTGACAAAAGCTTAGATATTGAATCCAACAGCTGATTAAACTAATGTATTGACAATCTTTATAAGTTATATGGCGGTTGTAGATGCATTTATAAATTATTTATCAATAACATTCTCACATCTGCACATCTTTGCGGTTTATGTTGATCATTTAACCAATTTTTGTAGCTTAAAATTAGCTTTGCATTTACACACACACACACACACAAATTTGAAATATAATTTTCATTACTTGCAATAATAATTTTAACAACCCATCAATAATGTTGTGTCATGGTACGTAAGATTATTGATGCGTTACTTTGAAATTTTGTGACGAATTATCATAATTAATGGGACTTAATATATAACTTACATAGAATGAAGTACATTGCACACACACAAAACACACAACTCATGACAAGACTTAGCTTATAGTACAATGCTAGGTATCAACAAAAATTTCTCAAATAAGTATCAATATGACTATATACTCCACCATTTGAGACAATAAAATAAATGGTTAGTGTTAACTAATTAACTAACTAATATATGATACGTACATTTAGAAAGCTTTTAAAACTCAATTAACATTCATCTAATTCAAAGCATTTTTTTTGTTGAGGGGGGAGGCTTCAAGGTGAAGGAATGGGAAAAAGAGGAGAGTATAGCATGTATGAGACTGTGAATGAGTGTGACTTTTAATCTGTTGTTTCACCCAAAAGCTTCAAAGTTCTCAATGCCTCTTACACACTGAAGGCAAAACCACAAAGCAAATTTTGCTTCTTTTGGGATTCTCAGTTTTGGCTTTTACTCTTTCAATTTTCGATTCATTACTTTTTCTTCATCCCCTCCGTTCTATATATATGTCTCCTCAATTCAATGCCTTTCATACTTCTTTAACTAGCCCATTTTTATTGGAGATGTTTTTATCATTTATTTGTTTAATTTTTAGGAACAAAAAGAAAATTTCAAGTAAATGCCTTCCCAAAAACTCACTAGTATTAAGGCAGACATCATGCATATTCATGTAACAGTGAGATTCAAACTTATTTATCATCTCAATGTATTATATTAAACAAATATAGGGCATTTTGACTCTGCCAATGTGCAATTAATAAAATTTTTATAACTACAATACCATATTAAATAAGAGTATAACATGAATAAAGTGTATAATTTTAAATTAAAGATAATTAACTAATTCATTGGAAATATAATTTAATTAAAAGTAACTTGTAATACTGAACGGATGAGTATTACCTTTATAAAATATGAATCATAATTTTACTGACTTGACCAACCTTCATTATGACTTGACCAACCTAGCTTCATTAACATTTTCATAATTTATTTTGATTTAAGTTGTGGTAACATTTTATTTTGAAACTTTGATAAAATAATAATGTGAAGTGATAAACATTAAACTAACCTTCTCCAGAGTAAATTTCTGTTGCATTATTAGATTTCTCTTACGTGACTGAATGTGGCTCTCCCACCAAGTGACGCGTCCTGATCATGACTTCGATTTTCAATTTTGTAATTAATTGATTAATTAGCTGTAATCCTTTTGGGAATTCATATTCAAATCACTTTCATTGTCATCATTAATTCCTCTCTCTCCTCCCATTCCTGTACTTTGACCTTGATGGTCCCGCTAATTTTAAAAAATTATTTCCATTAGCTTTCATTTCAATGACCTTAATGGCCATTATTTGCACCTACAATTTTACAATTTCAAAAGTCCTACGTACTCATCATTACTGGAACATATTTTTGAAGTTATTTTCTTTTAAATCTTATAAAAAAAGATTTCATCGTACGTTTTCTTTTGGGATTGCATTGAAGGTACTTGATGAACCCATGTATCTTGTTGTATGTACTCCCAATTGAATTATAAAACATTTTTTAAAACATTTTTAATTGAATATCTTAATAAGTTAGTTAATTGTTTTTAAAATTACACTTTTTTCATGTAAAAATTTTATTAATTATATTGCTAATTCAAAAAAATTAAAAAAAATTATTAATTATACCTTGAAAAGCGCAAATACCTAGTATTTGTTAATATGATACTTTAAAAAATATTTTATAATATTGAAAAATGGGGTATACCAACCATGTTGGGCACCAGTTAATTTATAATAAGCGAAGTCGAATCATATAAATGTAAAACTCTCTTACAATAATTTCATAAAAAAATATATCTTATAATAATAATAGTAGTAGTAGTAATTTTTCCATATGTACATAAGTCATAAATTTGAGATCTTTAATTATCTAAGAAAAATAAAGTGTCAACTCATTTAAACCAACACTACTTCGAAACATACTATACGTAACAATTAATTTTGATTTTATTTGACATTTTTAACTATTAATATGGAGGCATCATTTAAATATAGTAAGCAAGACCCAAGTTATTCCATCATCAAATATCGTTGATATTAATGATGAATTGACGAAGTTATTTTAGGTTTTTTTTTTGTAGTTATAGTAAGCAATACACAAGTCCAATAAAAATTTTCCTATACAAAAACATGTAAAATTGAGTTGCGCCCATTAATTGGATAAACTTTTCACTCAAATTTCACATTGATTTGTATTTTTTATCACATATTAATTATTTCATTCATTTGAATATCAATGTCATGAATTTCCGACTTAAGTTAAATTACTTTTTTTTTTGTGCCACACTTAATTCAAATTACTATAGATCATTAGACCATATTTGGTGATTTATTATGTTAAATATCAGTTTGGCTTCATTTTTATCTGATAAAAAAATGCTTCATATATCTTGTTATATTTGAATTAATTTTTTGGCCATAATTTTATTTGAAATTTTTTATTCAATCTAATACACTTCACAATAATAATGATTACCAATTAAAAGTCTTTTGCGTACCATTTTGGGATAGCTTTGCATTTGAGTAATTAAAATCATGAACAATTTGGTCTTAATTAATTAGGAAGATGTTTTGACTAATTTGTATGGCTAGCAATTAAGGAATATTTCCTTATTAGTATTCTCAATTCTCATCTCACCCATCTAAATTGACTAATTAATTAAAAGAAGAAAATGTAAGATGACTCATTTTTTAGATTTTGTGTAATATTGTACTTTTTTTAATTAAATTGATTCAGAGGTTTTTTTATTTTTGACCACTTATATACTACACTTTCACAAACTCTTATCACCCGATCTAGCCTCAGTATCGAAAACAACATATTTTGTTCAACTTAAAAACAACACAATACAAAAAACTCCAGTACATAATTTCCAAAAAAATATAATGCTGACTTGGATTTGATTTATATTATTGAAAACGAAGAAAAATTATTTAGGTGCATATGGTCACCGCAATTTTTCTATGCTTGGGCTTTTTTTTTTATTAAACAATTTGAGAATCTTTGTAAAATGTAGTAAAATGTGAATTGGTTGGTGACTATGGTCTAATATTCAAAGCTTCATGTTCGTCAAATTCTTAAGAGAAAATTCACGCTCAAAAGTTTGACAAACTTAGATTTCTAAATTAAATGAAGTTTGAAACTTGGTTAACTTTTAGTTTGAAAGTTAATTAGGGTTATCTTATTAATTGTTATACGTGAATGCTTTTTATTTTTCTCTTTAACTATTATAATATCAAGGATTTAAAACTAAGACATCCATGTGGATTCGACTTAATTAAACTCTTATTTTTCTGTTGAATAGTTATTAAAGCACATCTAACAATCTGAAAAACGAGAATTCTGACACGATCATTTCTAATCATATATTTATGTATGTAAACATGGTCTTATACTATATATAAGTGGAGCCAACTGCAATATTAACACCTTCCTCTTTCTAATTAATTATATAGATTATGCCACCTCCAATAGTTGAATTGAGTTAAAAAAAGATTTTTTTTCTTTGAAATATAAGGAGCAGGTTCTGCTGACAGTAATAGAGATTATCTCCCTTGAGGTAGTGGGAGCAAGTGATAAACATCTCTCAACTAAATTGCTATTTATATAGAGTTAAGATATGAACCCACAACTACTTGTTTAAAGAATAAAAGCCTCTGGGTTTTTTTGCCCTTAAAAAAACAAAACTTTTGAACATTACAATATATGAAAAAAAATTATGCTTGGAGAGTTATTCCTAGCTAGTTAAATCTAATTAATAATGCTCAAATTTGACATGGTAGTATTGGATATTGAATATTCGTTTTGTAAAGCCCTGTTATAACTACATATATCCTGAAATTAAGGAAATTAGTTCAAGTTAGTAAACATAGTTTTGTTTTACAACTTTCTAAAATTACTCATAATCAAATTAAATCTATTATTAAGTGAGAGTAAAAGAGAAGACTATTTTGGAAAATGACTCACAAATGTTTCATTAAATTTTGGAAAAAGTGTCATAATAGAGACCAATATATGTAGGGTCTGATAAATAGGATGGAAGAGAGTAATTATATAAAAAAATAATTATACAATATCAATACTATAGAGTAAGAGAAAATCTTAATAATGGAATAACAAATTA